TTGCTGTTGGATACATGTGCTGGATGATTTTGTGTCACGCAGACTGGTAAGATAACCGTTTGATAGGGGGCACCGCGATGATTCACGGGGCCCCTCCTTGCTGTGGGAGCCGCTCTTTGAGCACTCCCTCTTTCGTCCGTGTGAAGGACGGTCGTCTACCTCCCGTGAAGTTAATACATCACCAAAACAGTCTCACCCGATAAATAAGTGGCGTAGGCCGCAAACACTTCTTGTACCCCATGCTCACGTTTTTTCTGACTTTTTCCCACAACTACAGGACCCACTTAACCTCCGAAGCCGCGAACGCCGCCGAGACAATCGCGGCGCCCCGTACCGCTTCTGGTGGGAGGAGGCGGTGGAACAATTCCGGAGGACGGACTGGCGAAAGAGGGGAGGTAAGATCGATATCTACCAGGGCCGTGGGCGTGGTGATATGCTCTTCGGCATGCTGCATGCATTCAAAGTGGCTTCCACTTTAGATGTCGAGCTGTACCACTGTCCCCCCCAGCTAAAATGTCCCTGGGAACTTCTAGATTGATTGTGTGGTTTGGTACTGCATCGAGATATTCGTGTCTCGTTTGACAATGAATGCATCGAGAGAAACCTCGTCCTGGTGGCAGCAGCAGCGGAGGCGTCATATTTTTGAGTTACCACCTGTATCTTTGGGTCGGATTGATGTTTGTCGAACAAAACAACTTGCTTATAATATTCGATTTTGGATTTTATCGATAAATTGGATTGAAATTTCGCTTCATAGCAGGCTGCCTCTGGCCGTTGTCAAGGTATTGACTCGATTTTCACTAATGGACTCTTGACACGACGATGTACGAGCTTGGTCGCACACATACCCACCATTCATGTTTCGAGGAACAAGTGCACTTACCTCAGAAGAAGTACGTTGGTTTAGTGTGCGTGAAGCATGCGAAATTGCAAAGTGTATTTCTTGGGTCGATATGTATTTTTACAGACAAGGGCTTGATTTAGACTTTGGGTGATCGCAGCGTCCGTCACTTTTTCTTGTCAAGCTCCAGAAAATAGGGTAGAAATGAGGGTTCCCGAGATGTTCCCGCCTCTCTGTTTCTCTCTCTCTCATCCTCTCCCTCTCTGTCTCTCTCTCTGCCTCTCTGTCTCTCTCCCTCTCTGTCTCTCTCTGTCTCTTTCTCTCTCTCTCTCTCTCTCTCTCTCTCTCTCTCTCTCTCTCTCTCTCTCTCTCTCTCTCTCTCTCTCTCTCTCTCTCTCTTTCTCCGTTTCTCTCTTTCTCTGTCTCTCTGTCTCTCTCCCTCTCTGTCTCTCTCTGTCTCTTTCTCTCTCTCTCTCTCTCTCTCTCTCTCTCTCTCTCTTTCTCCGTTTCTCTCTTTCTCTGTCTCTCTGTCTCTCTGTCTCTCTTTGCTTGTGCCCCAAGAGGAGGAAAGTCGGGGGGACGGCGGCGGCGGCGGCTTCGGTCGAGCAGATGGAGGCCGTCGAGGCATTGATGTGGGTACATAAGGAGGGCAAGGTGTTCGAAGGTGTGTTGAGGCATCGCGTACAATGAACAAGGGATCTCGGTATCGTTAAGTTCCAAACGTGAGTGCGTATTGTACCTCTATTGGTTGTTGATGCCTATTTATGCCTCAAGCGTTACAATAGCACCTTTAGTGAGCGTTCGGGGGATCCCGACGTGGTGGTCGGGGGGCGTTAGCGGAAGAAGCCTTGTGAAGACGGCGTATCACTGTCTCGTCGCCGTTTGGCCTAGTTGTCAGTTCCGTACGGGACCTCTCCCCCCCGCCCCTCCCTCGTATGTGCCGTGCGCCCGCCGAACCAGGCTGCTTTTCGACCGCCCGCCCGTCCAGCTCGCCCTGCCCGCCCAGCCTGCCCAGGGCGTGGACTTGCCTGCACCGGTAGGGTTTCTGTTGACAGTAGATGGTATCCACTATATAGCTCAAGCGGTCGATTTGGAATACACACAAGGATTTGTTGTTGTCTGTATCGTATGTGTGTAAATAGCGTGGTGTTGTGAGCAGTAACCGAGAGCCCAAACTGCCTTGGGAGCTTGCGTCGTAGACTTGAACTAGCACGTGCGCATGTGGCCGAAATATTCCGATTTCCCACGTGTCTGATTTCTTGAGCTCCGTGCCATGCCCTCCCTCACGATCAGATGGTACCGGCGTGGCAAGTGCTGGACGCGGCTGCCGTGTCCCAGAAGCTAGGAAGGGACGACGCCCTTGAACAATTGCGAGACTACGTCCATTATTTTTCAACAGGCAGCCCCGTTCGACAGGGGGCGTCTTCGCAGGTGCGAGGAAGAGAAGAGAAGGGAATAGAGAGAAAGAGCACTGTAGGAGGGACAGGTTTTTGACCACCTGGCTGGGTCTTTGCCAGTTTGTGGCGGGTCCTGCTTACGAAGCCGGGGGGGGTGGTATGCACAGGTGTGTTCGTGTGTTTGTTCGAAATGCTTGCTACAAGTACGATGGGTTCCTTTCATTGCCTACCAGCAACACGCGCAGCTGCTACAAGTACGGTAGTTTTTTCACGTTTTATGTTTGGCTTTTCCGCCATTGGTTGGCCTACTCTCGGTCTACTTCAAATTTACATTTTTTGCAGGAATATTTCGTAAGGCATGACCCGCGGGTTTCACCGTCTAGGTCAACTCAACAGCGCGTGTCATGGGCAGATATGTTGGCGGGTCGTTCCAACTCTCCCGTTTTCGTTTCCTGTACATTACGGGTCACGACCTGACCCTCGGATCAGGTTTCGACCCGTGGACAAAGGCATGCTAATTCCCACTTCACTTTCACGATACTTGGAACGTACCATGATTTTCTTGAGCTACGCTACGCTAGACTACACTATACTACACCCGTGTTCCACCCGTGCAGCCCGTAATTTTGTGGAACCGTCGATAATCACAACAGGGAGGGGTTGGCGTGTTCGCCACCCAGCCTTTCGAGGAGCAGGAGGTCGTCATGACCCTCCGGAGGCGTTGCTCCGCGGTCTCGAAGTGGTTGGCGGCGCGCCGCAACTTGAGCCTGAACGTGAGAGCGAGGAAGGGAACAAAAGGCATAGTCTAGTTACAGTAGTTTTCCTCTCAAGCACATGGATTCTGCATAGCACAAAGAGATCGAAAGTGGAACAGCGTGTTTTAGCGTACTTGGGCCCTTCGTTCTGTGAGCTTCGCGATCATCGGCCCACCTGTAGTCTACCTTGAACTTGTGCACGTCCATGGCTTTCGCACCGTTTTTTTGGAACAACAGCAGTGCGTGTTACACGAACAGTCTCGGCTGTGCCTCGACGGCAATACCCGTGGGTTTGAAAAGGTTTTCGTTGAAGAGGAGCAACCGTGGTACCTCCCGTATGTACTCACGCACCCTCGGTCCAAGCTAGGTTCAGTAGGATTCCTTGCCCTGTTGCTTCGCGTTTTTTGGTGAAGCAGCGGCTACCCAACGTAAAATGTGTTGGGCAGGCACGCAGGCACAGCGTGGGTGGATGGCATGACCGGTATGATCTTGTGCCGTCAAATCGGTTCGGTTGGGGTACGTACGCCAATTCGTCAGCGCACCCCCATCCCCTCTCCGCTCCCACCACCGCCACCCTTTCCCCTGCCTGAACTCCCCCGGGTGTCATTGCTGCCGCAGGGATATGCCATCCACGATGGGGGAGACCCCATCTACCTGGACATTTCCACTTTCGGCTTCCCTGCCCGAGTTATAAGCAACTCGGACAAGCCCAACGTGTTCGTGTACACGGTGAGCAGCGTACATTTTTTCCAGCGGTTGGTTGAATAGGTGTGATGGGTGATGCACTGCTGTCGAGTGTGCTGAGAGCACTTTTTGTGTAGACGCGATTGAACGCTATTTCTGCCTGTCTGTGCTTCGGTTAGGAACCAACGGCAGAGTAGCGTGGATGTATGCTCAGTTCGTGTATCTCTAGGTACAGGCGGGCGATAAGCCCGCCCAGGACGACTGGACTTTTGATTTTTCGTTTTCGTTGTTGTTTGTTGTTGTTGTTTCTCACATTAGCTCTAAAAAAGAAAGATTGGGAGCCCGTGGTCTCAAAACCCGGCATACACGACCCCACGAAGAAACAGAAAAAAATAGGGTACAAAAACCACTTGGAAGAGAAACAAAATGATAGAAAGAAAGACCAGCTACCGCACCAAACGAGAAAGAGCGTCGAGGAGACCGATCAAAATAAAATAAAAGGAGAACGGGGAACGCTTCCCACACCCGCCTACAACGCCGGAGGGTTCCGTGCCGGGTTCCCGCCGACCAGGCATCCCCCGCCCTGCACCACACCCCAGGGGGTGCAGCAAGACGGGGGGCGAAAAACAAACACATATATATTCCCACAAAAAAAAATAAAAAATCGAAGGACAACGTACACCAGTACCAGGTACTACAGCAGTGCAGTATGCACCAGCGCATTAGTGTAGGGTAGGCACCGCACCAAAGAGGCAGCAGAGGTGGCAGGCAGCCAGCAAAGGAAAAAACAAAAATAACAAGGAGCTCGAGGTATCGTCCAAGATCATCGTAGAGAGGGCATGGAGAACAAGAAAGAAAGAAAGAAGAAAAGCACAAAGAGAGGCCGGAGGCAATACTAAGAGCATACAGCTTACGGCAGGGAAAAGGGAACACAGGGTGCGACAACATCATCAGTTGGGTACGTCGTTCGCCGCAAGCGCGGCCTTGGCCGCCCTACTCGCTTCTACAGCAGTGTCCGGTCGCCGTTTCTTCCCCCCCCCCGCCGCTTCCCCGATTCTCTTTCTCTTCGGGCCCGGGGCGGCCGTACTCTCCGTCTCTGCTTCCTCCGCGCGCTGGCGCTGGCGCTTCGCGGATGCTTCCGCCTCCTGTCTGTGCCATTTCCTCATGAACCATGCCGCCCCGTCCTCGATCTTGTCGTACCACGCCTCCTGGTCCTTGGCGCTCTCTTTCCATCTCCCCCCCTCCTTCTCCTCTTTCATGCCAAACGCCACGAGGTCCTCTCCTAGGCGATACACCCAGTCGCTCTCCTGCCCGCCCCGGTATCCGGTACCCCCCGCCATCGCTCCCAGCAGCATGCGCTTGGGGAGGCGGTTGTCCTCCATGCGCATAACGAAGCCCGCAAAACACAGCCTCCGTTTGCGCACGGTGGCCTCGATGGTTTCCTCGCAGCCGGCCTGGATGAGGGCCTGGGCGTAGGACAGGGGTCGGTCTGAGCGCTTCCGCTTGCTCCAGCCGATACACCGTGTCAGGAACTGGCGGTGGGTCCCATTCAGCTTGGTGTAGTGCTCCGCTGCCAGGCTCCACGAGGCGCACCCGTATAGGAGGGTCTGCACCACTTCAGCCTGGAGTAGTCGGATCTTGAGCTGGCGGTTGGCCCGTTTCCTGTCGTACATCGAAGTGCTGTTCCGGCGGTAGCACTTCCATGCTCGGCAGATGCGGCTCGTGATCTCCCGGTCGACCTTCCCATCCGCGCAGATGGTACGTCCGAGGTACACAAACCGATCTGTCTGCTTGTACGTCTGGCCAGCGGCGCTGACCGCGAACGGGCGTTCCCCCAGCCCTTTCGGTAGCATGCACATGATCTCCGTCTTTGGCTCCGATACCATCAGTCCGAACAGGCCGGCCACGCGCACGATGATGGACATCATCTTTTCGAGGCTCTCCGGCGTGAGCGAGACGATGGCCGCGTCGTCAGCGTAGAGCATGTCCCACAGGGCCTCTGCGACCGTCACCATCATCGCCTTCTTCCCCGCCGACCTGCCCCTCTTGCCCGTGCACTCCACTCGTGTTGCGATCTTGATCATATCCGCCGTCACCTTGGGGTCCTTGTCGAACTCGGTCACTGCGACCATGCGCATCGCGGCAGAGAACAAGTTGAACAGCAGCGGGGCCAGGTTGCACCCCTGTCGGAGACCTTGGCCGACGTCAAACCATTCCGAGTACTGCCCGTCGTCCGTTCGAACCCGCGCCCTCATGCCCTCGTGGAAGTGGCGAATGACCGCCAGCATCTTCGGGGGCACGCCAAAGCGTCCGAGCACGTCCCACAGCAGATCTCGGTCCACCGAATCGTACGCCTTGGTAAGATCGACGAAGCACGCGAAGACCGCAGTACTCTTCTTCCTCGCGAGCTCATGGAGCCGCTGGATGGCGAACAGCATGTCGAGCGTCGACCGGTGTGGGCGGAAACCGCTCTGCTCCTCCGGGAGGATGCCCTCTCGCTCGCAGTAGTGGCTTAGGCGTGTTGCAACGACCTTAAGCAGCACCTTGCCGGCGTGTGCAACGAGAGAGATGCCCCGGTAGTTGCCGCACTCCATCGTGTCCCCCTTCTTGAACAGAACCTTGATGGTGGCGTCCTTCCACTGCTGCGGTACGTTCCCCGTCTGCCACACGTCCACGACGATGGCGTGGAATTCGCGGAGGAAGCCTCGGTCTCCATCCAGGAACAGCTTGATCAGCTCAGCCGGTAGGTCGTCCGGCCCGACGGCCTTCCTGTTGGCCATTCCCCGCACCGCCTCCTCAACCTCGAATAGAGACGGGATGTCGTCGAGCGGAACGCACGTGGGCCACTGCTTGACTCTGTCGGTCGCATGCAGGTCGATGGTCGGCGACCTGGTGTTAAGGAGCTTGTGGAACCACCGCGCCCACCGCTGGCGGGTAAGCGTGGGGTCCCGAAGGACCTTACCGTCCTCGTCCTTGATGTTCTGGGAGGTAAGTGGCCTCTTACCTTCGACGTCGATCATCTTCAGGTGCCTGTAGAAACCCGCCTGGTCCCCCTCACGGCTCTTCTTCTCGAGCTGCCTCACATAGCCCTCGAAGAACTTTTCCAGTGCTCTCCACCTCGCGCTGCTGCGTTTCTTCCGCGCCGCCTTGAGCTTCGCCTTCAGGGTCGTCTCTAAGTCGCTGTTCTTTGAGGCCCCGCGCAGCTGCTGTTGGGCCACTCTTATCTCCCTAGACGCTTCGGAAATCTCGTGCTGCGCTTCGCTCGTGTACCATCCTCCCTTCCCTCGTGCGCTCCTCGCCAGCGGCGCGATCTCCGCAGCGGCCGACATCACCACAGCGGTGAGCTCGGCGGCGGTCTCTCCCGTTGGCCTGCTGAGGGCCGTGGGCGGAGGGCGGTTGAGAGCCCTGTCTTGGAAGACGGCCCGTAGGTGCACATCCTTCCTCAACCGTTCGAGGTCGATACGGATCCGGCTGCTTCCGCTGTTTCCCCGCGTTCGTCGGTTGGGTGCGACACGGGTGGGGGAGCGGACAGTCGTATGCACCAGGTTGTGGTCAGAGTCCTTGAAATCGACACGTTTGACGGAGGCATTACGTACGAGACGCCGGTCCGTCTGTCGCATGAGGATGAAGTCGAGGCGGTGCTTCTCCTTCCCCTTGTTGGAGCTCTGGAACGTATGCTGTACTCCTCCTTTCGGTGTCCGGAAGTAGGTGTTGATCAGGGAGAGTGTGTTGTGACGATTCTACTGTTGTGCAAAGAGGAGAACGGTGGAGGGGGTTCCTTTCACTGCCCCTGCAGAGCACCACTGCATGACAACAGTTGTGTCTCTTCTACTATTGTTGGAGTCGAGCGTTGGTCATTTTTTTTCCGAAGTGCCCGAAAGCTCTGCTGTATTTCTGGCCTCTATTTATTTCGAGGAACCTCGCACCGTGCAAAGACATATTTTACCTGAATCTTCTTCATAGACATGTGCACAGCAGTCTGTCTACACCGTAATGCCACGGGTCAGCCCGCAAGCACGGTCGATGTCGATGTCCCCCAACAAGAATATCACACGCACGGCGCTCTTCTCGAGAAGAGTGAACATGTGGCAGTAGGATGCAAGAAGCTACCAAAATCACACGATCCCTTTCTCCGGCAGAGGGGCTTAACAATAGCAACCCTTTCCATGGATGAGTCGGTCACAGTCACAGCGGTCGGTGTTTATTTATTTTTTTTGCAACATGGAGCAACTTGTTGACACGTCTCTCCCCCTCCGACTTGTACCCTACCCGAACGTTTTGCTTGTCATCGTTTGTTTCGCGCAGGTCACCGCGGGTAAGGGAGACTCCGAGGAGAAGCGCATTTTCCTCTTTTCCTTGCGGAGGATCGCGATGGGAGAAGAGATTGTCTACTCGTACCCCGCCCCGGGCTCGCTCGGCCTGGGAACGACGTTGCTAGATGAGTGCGCATGCGGCGCGCCGATGTGTTGCGGGATCATGGACAACTGCGACGACATCCTCGAACGGATGAATTCTATCGATTGGCACACCACGCTATAAGTGCCAAGCATCTGATAGGACTACTGTGTCATTTGGGGGTGGGCGCTTGGGGGAGAAGGGGGAGGCCAATGGCTCTTGTAATTGACATGTTTGTGTTGTTGTTGTTGTTGTTGTTGTTGTTGTTGTTGTTGTTGTTGTTGTTGTTGTCTTCACATTAAAAACCATTCCGTAGTGTGGTGTGGTTTTGAGAGAGAGGAAAAGAGCCAGCGGACAATTGCACGAAAAGCCCGCTACCCCACAAATGTCTATTTCGCGTTCGTGGGCGGGTGCAATGCCTTTCAGGGACGATCGACCAGGATATTGAGCAGTGGTGTAAGCATCCCCAGCAGCAGAAGCACAGCAGCGTGTAGTCTTGGAGGGTAAGCTGCGTTGGTGTTGTTTCTACTTCGTACACTGCACGGTCTGCACATGTAGTGGAAGCTACAACCTAAGTTGATGCTTGCCTCGTGAAGCTGTACAGTGGTTGTACTTGTTTTGCTCCTGAAGTTGTTTTCGGGCCTTGATTGTAGCTGAAGGTATTTTGATTTAGGCGAAAGCCATTATTGGTCGGCGAGACAGACCACCACGATATTATTACCGGTGAGAGTGGGCGGGGCTGGGCGCGAGTAGCAGGGCTACAAGATATACGGGGAGGGTGTAGTGGTGTTTAGGGTACGAATATCCTTCGAAAAAATTCATCATTATTGCAACTTTAGAAAGACGCGAAGAAGGGAAGAGATTGGGGAAAGTGCTACTTGGGTTACTTGACTGGAAAACCGTTTACACATAAAATCGTTTTGGTTGTTTGATTGATCCCCACGTGATGCCAGTGTTGTGTTGTGTTTTTTTTTCAGATTGGAGCCGTGGAGCAGACCAGTGGCGGCGATGGAATCCGTAAGGAAAGAGAGGCGGTGCGCAAGAAGCCGGACGAGCAAAATGTGTCTGCCAGTGTCGTGTGTTTATTTTGTCTAGGAGCAGACCAGCGGCGGCGATAGAATCCGTATCGAAGGGACTGGCCGCGACGGCAGGCAATACGATACTGTACCTGCCCCATCGTCTGAGCGGCACAGCCGCGGCCTACGGGAGATTGAGAAAAATGTCATGTCACGTGTCGTGTGTTAGGGAATGTACGTGTAGACGTGCTTGGACGTGAATGCGACGAGCGCCGTGGGAATAACTACCAAAAACGCGCCATCCACGCAAGAGGGTATCATAGAGGAGGTAGAGTTGTGGTTAGCCAGGTGCAGGTTGAGTGGTTTGTTGTGTGGGTCGATCTCCCCGAGAGAATACATGTCTCATCGTTGTTGCCACGACAGACGAGTAATGTCCGTTTGCGCGGGCCAGCGACGGAACTGTAATTGTATTTTGAAATTGAAGTGGCAGCAAAGGAGTGACATGTCGAAGCAACTTTGGTTTGTACACCGTTTTTTCTCTGATCATGCGCTAGTGGATGGAGCAGTGCGGTACACTGTTTGGTGTCCCGCATTGTATTGTATTGTATGGACGAGATAGCGGGAACGATCAGGTGAGGACAGATGGACCCACCCCAAGCACGTGTGATTGGTGGTAAAAGAGAAAAGAGGGTGAACCGTTGTTGCAAGAAAGAAAGACCGAAGAAAAGCTGAATAGCCCAAAGGCGTACGGTTATCGACTACCAGCCTGTTGACACCGCTGGGGCTTCGAATTCGAGCATCTTTGAGGTCGAGCATCGTTTACACCCTGACCGCCCCCCACGTCCTCTCCGAGGAACACGTGCAGCACACGCTCCGCAAAAAAAAAGGCATATTTCGTGACTATTAGCTTGGGGTCGAGGAGTTGCATAGTCCTGGAATTTTATTCCCGGCCCGCGTTAGAGCCCCAAAACCAACTGCCATGTACTTGTTGTTTGCTTGACCAAGCGATGAATGGCCAAGCGACCATCCCCCCCCCCCCCCCCC